GATTGTGTTACAATATATTATTACTGAATGATCAGAAAGGTTGATTGTGTTACAATTTATTATAACTGAATGATCACAAAGGTTGATTGTGTTACAATATATTATTACTGAATGATCGGAAAGGTTGATTGTGTTACAATATATTATAACTGAATGATCAGAAAGGTTGATCGTGTCATAATATATTATAACTGAATAATCAGAAAGGTTGAATTTGTTACAATATATTATAATTGAATGATCAGAAAGATTGATTGTGTTACAATAATTATAACTAAATGATCAGAAAAGTTGATTGTGTTACAATATATTATTACTGAATGATCAGAAAGATTGATTGTGTTACAATAATTATAACTAAATGATCAGAAAGGTTGATTGTGTTACAATATATTATAACTGAATGATCACAAAGGTTGATTGTGTTTTAGTTATGATAGACCACCACATGCCAGGAATTGCAATATTTCACGCAATAGACAATGGAACAGAAACCCCAAGGTCAATCTATCACACCCATTCAAGTAATGTATTCCCCTTTTCTCCTTTATGATATAATTTTCCACACCATTCGTTTCCAAACATTTTCATAGGTATATTGTGTATTGTGTGATATTTGTGTATTTTAGGATATACACTAACATATCTGAATTGAAAATAGGATTTTGGAATATCAATGGCCTATCGAGCATACTAGATGATGAAAATAGTAGAAATAGGTTAGCAAAATTAGTAAAACATTTAGATATAGTATGTTTTCAAGAAACTTGGATTAGTCAAAAAGAAATAGACAGCGACTACTATCAAAAAGCGCTGAAAAATTTCAGAGGATTTCTTTTTGCAAGAAATATCAGTACGAACTGCAATCAGATTCGTGGTGGCACTGCCTTTTATTTTTTTAATTACATGCTTGATGTTTTTTTTTATATGTAATGTATATTTCCCACCTGCAATATCAGACATCTGGCTGAAAAAAGCTTATGATCCTTTCCATGCTTGAGTCGGAAATACTTAAGTACCAATCACAGGGAGAAGTAATTATCGGTGGGGATTTCAATGCTCGGACTGGAAACTTGCCCGATATATTTGAAACTGACGACAAAATGGATTGCCAATTCCCTGCATTTTTATCTTGTGATAATTTCAGGGAGACTATACCAAAAGGTCGAAACAACCCTGATAAGGTTATTAATACATTTGGTAGGAGTCTCATTGATATATCACAATCTTCTGACATGTGCCTATTAAACGGTAGAACATTAGGTGATTTATTAGGAACTCCCACCTGCTTCAGACCACATGGTTGTAGTTTGGTGGACTACATAATTGTTCAACATTCTGTTTTCAATCAAATTCTGTCCTTTAATGTAATGCCTATCTCTGACCTATCAGACCACAGACTAATATTCTGCGAACTAAATATACCTAACTATTTTAAGAAACCAGAAAAAAGGTTAACATCTTGCGTCAAGGGTCAAATAAAGACAACAAATAAATCTCTTAACACTCGATTTATTTGGACACCCCTCTCAAGCGAACTATACCAATTCTGCCTAAATCAAACTGAGTTAAAGAAAATGACAAACAGTTTTATGACTACCGATTTTGATTACTCCGTAGGGGGTGTAACGAAGGATGACATTCTACTAAATGCTGCAAAATCAAGTCTAAGAATGAGTAAAAACACATGTCATGGGAAGAAGAAAAATCGCTGGTTCGATAAAGACTGCAAGCGACTATATCGAAAAGTAAACAAGGCAAAATGGCTTTTGAACAAAGATCCTCAAAACAAAACCCTATTAAAACATTACGCTTTGAGGAAAAAAGAATACAAAAAAATATCCAAATTTAAATCAAGAGAGGCAAAACGTAAACTTTTGGAACAGATTGACGAATTAGAAAGTAATAATCCACGAGAATATTGGAAGTTAGTCAATAGACTTGTAAATAACAAAAATGATGAGGATCCAGGCAATATTTCACTAAGTCAATGGGAAGATCATTATAATAAGTTGTTTAACCCTAATCTCATTTCTGATCCACTAACTAAAACCAAAATAGACCGTTCGATAGAAATACATGACTACACCCCAAAAAGCCAACTGAATCAAGAAATAAATAGACCAATTTCTACTACAGAACTCCGTTCAGCTATTAAAAAGTTAAAAAACAACAAATCAAGCGGACCTGATTTAATAATTAATGAAATGATAAAGACTTCCTTCAACATCCTTCAAGATCACTTAAAACTATTTAAGCATATACTTTCTTCTGGACACATACCTGACGGTTGGAACGAGTCGTTCATTCTTCCTATCCATAAAACGGGTGATAAAAGTGACCCCAATAACTAGCGCAGAATAGCCCTCACCAGTTGCCTAGCAAAGTGTTTTCTCCAAATTATAAACCATAGAATATCAAAGCATCTCGAAATCGGTAATAGATTGGACGAATGCCAAGGTGGTTTCCGGGAAAATAGGAGGACAATAGATAACGTATTTATTTTAAAAACAATTATCAATAAATACTCTTCAAATAAGAAAAACCTTTTTCTCTGCTTCGTGAACTTCCAAAAAGCATTTGACACAATTTGGCGCCATGCTTTATTTTATAAACTCCTAAATCATGATATTACTGGAAATATCCTCCATATAATAAAATCCATGTACTCTAACCCTGTATA